AGAATCTATTCAACTTTTAAAATTTGTGAACAAGGAATGCAAAATATGTTCAAATATTTAATGTAAAACTGGAAATAAAGGTTGCAAAAGGCAGAATATTACCTGCTACTGGAATCTGCATAACAGTAAATTAAGAATTCATCAGGCAGATTAAATGCACATTAAAACCTACAGAATATAGTATCAATAATCTCAAAGAAAGAATAATTAGAAATTTGTATACTGATGTAGACATAGAAAGAGTAATGAATACATAAAATGTGACAAGAAAGGGCACATAGAATCAATGTTTATTAGATATATTTATGAATAAAGGCCCAGAGAGTCAGAAAAATACTACAGAATAGAGTTGAAACATTATTTCAACTTGCCAGACTAATGAAACTTGCCAGACTAATGAAATATATATAATTGTAGATTAAAATAACTGTAAAATCTAAATCAAACAAATAGAACTAAAACAAAAAAATCATGTGTAGTCACACCAGAGAAAAACTACTGAAAAAAAGAAAGTTTGGAAGTCATAACATATTGTTTTATAGTTATTAATAAATCAATTTTATTCTAAAATTTAAATATAAATTTGAAGGAGCAGAGTAGTGATAGCAACGATGAATAACAGGCACAAATTAGCAGGATTTGCTCTACTAAAAATAATTACAAAAAGCCTTAAAATTAAGACATTATAAAATGATGTTAAAGAGGACAAGTGCAGCTATTTTATAAACCTGTGTAGACCAGTACATGTGTAGAATCTTAATTTGTAACAATAGAGGTAACAAAATTCAGTGGCAGGGAAGGGAAGTTTCAATTACAATGGGCGAAGAAAACAGGGTATTCATTTTTTTAAATGACCTTAAATTCATGACACACATACTAGTCAGTTGCAGACTGATTGTAGAGTTCCATCTGAGGAAAACCACTTTCAGGAGTAGCCAGTTTGAGGTGGGATGAGGAAGCGAGGTCATACTGGTAAAGGTGGCTGGGTGGCACCACAGGTTAAATTTTTGGCTTTATTTAAACGTCCAGTTACCCTACAGGCAAAACTCAAGCAGGTCTGGAATGCATCATTTTTATAAACCACTCAAAAGAATGCCACATCTATGGGAAAATGTGATCAGCAAAAATAAAGTGCGCTCAAGTTCCAAGTGCA